AGAGCTCTCAGCTCCTCCATACGTTGGTACCACGTCTCTAAAGGGGATGCGCATTGTTTTTTCCAGTAGAGAGGGATTAGGCTTTTGGCCACGTTAAGTATCCGGATAGTCAAGGATTTTTTGTAGGTCGATGTTTTTGTCGTGGTGTGATGGATGAGGAATGTTGCAGGGTTCATGGGTGGCGGGGTGTCCGTGAATTTTTTTATGATCGTGTGGATGGCTGACCAGTATGGTTGGATGATCGGGCATTCCCACCATATGTGGAGGTATGTTCCCGTGTGTGTGGTGCATCTCCAGCATGTGTCGTCCTTCGTGGGGTCATATAGGTGTGTATGGAGTGGGGTGCGGTACCAGAGGGCTAGGATTTTGTATGCTGTATCTTGCTTTCCACTGGACGGCGTGCAGTGAAGTGAAAGGGTGCATATTTTGTCCCATTGGTTGGGTGTGAATGTGGTGCCTAGTACTGTTTCCCATTTCCCCACGAAGCTAGGGGGTGGTAGTCTCCTCATCCGCATGATCATTCCATAGGGCGTTGATAGGCCCCTTACCATCGGGTCTGGGTCCATGCATATCTCTTTGAACGCTGTTATGGGTCTGAGGGCGTGATTATTTTGAATGGCCTCGTGTATGAACCCTTTCAGTTGTCGGTATCTGAATTGTAGCATGAATGAGTGATTGGAGTTTCCCGTCATGGCCTCTAGTGTTTTGATGCGGCCGTTGTCCGTGGCGTGGCAGAGCCTCGGTATTTCGTTTCCCAGTAGTTGAACCAGTGTCCTCGGTTCCCTTCCTGGTGGGAAGACCTGGTTATGAGCTAGGGGCAGCATTGGGGACGGTGTGGTGGTGAGTGAGAGTGGTGCTGCCAAGTTTGCCACACCTGCATGGTTGCTTTAATTAGAGGGTGTGGGGCTGCTAGCTGTCTGCCTTGTTGGGGCTCTAGCCAGGGGAGGACTGCTATTGGTCTCCCCACTAGTGTTGACTCCACATCTTTCCAAAGTTTCATTACCCCCTGTTTGGACCACTCCACTATCCTTTGGATGTGTGTGGCCCTATGATATCTCTTAAAGTCTGGCAGGGCTAGGCCTCCCTTGGCTTTCGGCAGTGTGAGCACGTCATGTTTTATTCTCGCCTTCTGCCTCTGCCAGGTGAACCTAAGGGCCAACGATCTGAGGGAGGTGAAAAATGTCTCTGGGATGGCCTGGAACAAGTAAAGAACCCTCGGTAGGATGTTCATTTTGAGCACTCCCACTCTTCCAAACCACGAAAGGCGGACCTGGTCCCATTCCTGCAGATCCTTCTGTATGGTATTTAGGAGCGGTTGGAAGTTCGCCACGTATAGTTGGGAAAGGTCTTTCGTTAGCACCGCGCCGAGGTATTTCAGAGAGGTGTCGGACCATTGAAACGGCAGTTCCCGTTTGAGGGCCGCCGCTCTGGGTCCCGGGATGGAGACGTTGAGGATCGTGGATTTCGAGAAGTTGATTTTAAAGTTCGATAGCTCCCCGTATGTTTAAAATTCCTTCATTATCGCAGGCATAGATGTTTTCCGCTCGAGGCAGTCTCACCTGATTCTTCACCATGAGCGTCGGCTTCCGGTTTCCGCGCACTGCTCTTGGTGGCTTTACTTTGCTCCTTTCCGCGAGCGTCGGCTTCTGAAGCCTGCCTGCCACTGTTCCAATTTCCACCATCAGTGTTTCAGATGCTGCACGCTTGCGTGCAGCATATTTAAATATGCGCCTGAGTCAGCCATATGGCTCGGCGCGCAATAATGATATCACAAATCACAGTGGAGGGACCAAATACCTTCCATGTGTGAAAGTTAATTCTGATTGGAAGCTAGCCAATCAGAACACCCTAAACATATTTAACCTCACCTCTTCCGTTCCTTGTTGCCCTGTTGTGGTCTTTGATGGCCCAATAGCGTGTTATACTGTGTCTGGTTACCGAACTTTGGCTTGTCTTACGTTTACTCTGTCTTCTTTGATCCTTGACCTCGGCTTGTCTTTACGTATTCCCTCTCTCTGTTGTCCTTGACCTCGGCTTATACTATGACTACTCTCTCTCTCTTTTGCATAGCCCGGGCACTCTAAGGACCGGTATTGCAATCCTGTGTGTCTGTGATGTCTGCGTGTTTCCCTTGATAACCATGACAGTTTTATTTAGTGAAAGAAGTGACAGTTCCCTTTTACATTATAGACATACATTGAAAAATAATACAAAAAGAAGCTATAAAATGCTATATTTTATGTTCATTAACAAAATCTATGACATTTTCAAGTTAGTGACTGTAAAGCTATCTAAAGCTATCAATTCTACAATAAACAAGGCATTTTATGCTAGTACAGAGTCATGGGACTAGGCTGTAATGATACCAAAATGAATAATTTTTCCGTAAAGGATTAATTTAAGCACCAAGATCACTTCAGCGTTTTGAAGTGGTCATAATTAAATAAGCCTGTATGTAAAAAGAAAAACATTTACTGTGATGCTGGAATAAAAAAGTAGGTGAAAACATGTGAACTCAAATAAAAAAAAAAAACCTTACTGAGATAAGAAACAAACAGGAACTAGACTCTGAGATTCATTTTGTTTCGAACTGTAATTTGTCCTAATTTGGGATGATTCGATGATTGTCTGAATTTCCAATTTCCGAACCACCACATACACTAATCACAAAGCAAATGACTCTCGCAATGCACAAGCATGTTCGTTTGATTTGTGAGTTGGAATTCTAACTTTGGCACCAGAAAGTTCTGCTTTCTTTCCCACCATGTCTATTTGCTGTCTCTCTCAATACCCTTCCTATTGTGTTTTTTTACCCCACCTCCTCTAGACTGTAAGCTCATTTTAGCAGGGTCCTCAACTACCTATTGTTCCTGTTACATTTTGTTATTGTCTCATTTGGTAAATCCCCCTCTTATTGTAAAGTGCTGCGGAATAAGCTGGCGCTATATCAATACCAATAATAATAATAATGGGAAAAAGGATGATTGATGGCCAAGGGTAGCCCACTAAATGTTAATATTATTCACAGTTCAAGAAGTGGCCAATAGAGGTGAAAAAAAAGGAGAGGCAGTAATAAATAAATAAATAAATCTATATTTATATATTTAACCCCTTCACTTCCAAGTACTATTTGATTGGAAAAATATTAGCATAACTTTTATTTGAAGCAAGGCATGCATAGCTAGAAAGAAACATATAACACAGCAACTGTGTGTATAGATTACTTGCAGACAAACGTAAATATTAAAATGATGCAAATGTACACAATTTTTCCTTTTTAAATATTCGTTCAACCTTTATAAAATTATTTAGGAAAAGAAAAGCTTTAGACAGTATGCAGTGTACTTTATAAATAATAGTAATAAACAATATTTTGCACAGGGTGTGAAAAGTTAGTATAAAAAGCAAAAATCTATTTCTCACATACAGTAGGTGTGAGAAAAACAGATAAATAAAAATCGTCAAATACAATGCTTATTTGTATTTTAAAGGACACTGAAGACATTAATAGCAGTGCAGCTTACTGAAAATGGCAACAGACTGTAAAAATGTCTGTTTTTTATGCATAATACCAACATACAATAAATAGATTTAAATCACATATTTCTAAAATAAAAATGTTAAAACTGCTATAGCAATCTTTGTAATCTCTGGAATGCTAATGTAAAGCTAACAGAGAAATTCAATTTACCCCTTCCCTTTCTGTAGTATTGATATAACCCATGGAAACTTCCTTTGTTGTTTGGTAGCAGGGGTAAGCTTACATTACTACTCCTCTATTGGTTACTTTTCTCACTTCATCTGTGAACAAAATTGGGGGGGGAGGGGGGAAGAACTGCAAAATATATACATGTATTTATATTATGTATATATTTTGCAATACACTGATTGACCCATTTTCATCTTATTTTGCTTTATCTCATTTGTATTCCAGAATATCTTCTGATAGATGAAAGGCTAACGAGTCAAACTAACAAATGCACGAAAATCGCCCATCTGGAGAACAAATATATTTTCAAAGTGGTTCGGGCGAGGCTAAATTTTGAGTAACAGAAAAAGAAAAACAGAGTGTCAGTTAAAACAGGGTGCTAACCCATAATTCAAAAACTACACATATATATTAAAATAATAGAATATAAATTAGAATCAGCAGCTGAATCCTAAAAATAAAGGAGAAGAGATTCAGTGCTTCTGAAATACTGTAATAGTTCTAATGCAGCTTAAACACCAAGTCCAGAGTCTCTCTTATCCGGTGTAGGGGAATGAAGAAGGAGGAGGCTGGTGTAGCACCAATTATGTCCTTGACAATATGTGAAAAAAAGAAAAAGAAACTATGGTATAGTATGCAGGTTATAAAGGTAAAAAAAGTTAAATTTTGTTATTGTCTCATTTGGTAAATCCCCCTCTTATTGTAAAGTGCTGCGGAATAAGCTGGCGCTATATCAATACCAATAATAATAATAATGGGAAAAAAGATGATTGATGGCCAAGGGTAGCCCACTAAATGTTAATATTATTCACAGTTCAAGAAGTGGCCAATAGAGGTGAAAAAAAGGAGAGGTAGTAATAAATAAATAAATAAATAAATAAATCTATATTTATATATTTAACCCCTTCACTTCCAAGTACTATTTGATTGGAAAAATATTAGCATAACTTTTATTTGAAGCAAGGCATGCATAGCTAGAAAGAAACATATAACACAGCAACTGTGTGTATAGATTACTTGCAGACAAACGTAAATATTAAAATGATGCAAATGTACACAATTTTTCCTTTTTAAATATTCGTTCAACCTTTATAAAATTATTTAGGAAAAGAAAAGCTTTAGACAGTATGCAGTGTACTTTATAAATAATAGTAATAAAAAATATTTTGCACAGGGTGTGAAAAGTTAGTATAAAAAGCAAAAATCTATTTCTCACATACAGTAGGTGTGAGAAAAACAGATAAATAAAAATCGTCAAATACAATGCTTATTTGTATTTTAAAGGACACTGAAGACATTAATAGCGGTGCAGCTTACTGAAAATGGCAACAGACTGTAAAAATGTCTGTTTTTTATGCATAATACCAACATACAATAAATAGATTTAAATCACATATTTCTAAAATAAAAATGTTAAAACTGCTGTAGCAATCTTTGTAATCTCTGGAATGCTAATGTAAAGCTAACAGAGAAATTCAATTTACCCCTTCCATTTCTGTAGTATTGATATAACCCATGGAAACTTCCTTTGTTGTTTGGTAGCAGGGGTAAGCTTACATTACTACTCCTCTATTGGTTACTTTTCTTACTTCATCTGTGAACAAAATTGGGGGGGGGAAGAACTGCTAAATATATACATGCATTTATATTATGTATATATTTTGCAATACACTGATTGACCCATTTTCATCTTATTTTGCTTTAGCTCATTTGTATTCCAGAATATCTTCTGATAGATGAAAGGCTAACGAGTCAAACTAACAAATGCACGAAAATCGCCCATCTTGAGAACAAAAATATTTTCAAAGTGGTTCGGACGAGGCTAAATTTTGAGTAACAGAAAAAGAAAAACAGAGTGTCAGTTAAAACAGGGTGCTAACCCATAATTAAAAAACTACACATATATATTAAAATAATAGAATATAAATTAGAATCAGCAGCTGAATCCTAAAAATAAAGGAGAAGAGATTCAGTGCTTCTGAAATACTGTAATAGTTCTAATGCAGCTTAAACACCAAGTCCAGAGTCTCTCTTATCCGGTGTAGGGGAATGAAGAAGGAGGAGGCTGGTGTAGCACCAATTATGTCCTTGACAATATGTGAAAAAAAGAAAAAGAAACTATGGTATAGTATGCAGGTTATAAAGGTGAAAAAAGTTAGAAAAAAAATAAAAAGAAAAAAAAATAGGTAAACCAACCTTCGTGCTTGGGCAGAAAAATCCCTGCCTAAGGATATACTGTCTTTCACAGGTTTGCAAATGGTCTTCCTCTGCAGCAGTATCCTCATATAGAAGAGAAATATATATATAAAAAAAACAATATGGTGTGTATGTCAAACCAAAGCAGAGATAAAAACAGAGTAAAATATTGCACTCACATATTTTGAAGCCAGTACAGCGGCTCCCTGGATATGGCTTGGTGTGATATGAACCCCACTCTACGATATAACTGGTGCTTGGGCCTCTCCATGTGTGAACATAGAAGAAAAAGAAAAAACGCAATAGTGTGTAACTGTGGAGTTAAAATACAAGTAATGTGATGAACACATACTCACATTTGATGGAGCAACTACAGATTGCTCAATCCAATAGGCATAAGTGGTTTCTTGTCCCTACCAAGGATCAGGATGTTCATGAATCCAGCAGCAATCAGTGTGGTCTCATAAAAAAAGTACTTTTATTTATAAAAACAAAAATAAAAACAATAAAAGTGAAATAGACAAGCTTGAAAATAATGTAAAATACACTTAATGCGTTTCACCAATAATCTGGCTTTATCAAAAGAGCTTACAGATAAAATGGACCAAAGCTGCTTAAATAGGGAAGTAAAATTTGAATCTAATGGTCATGTGACATCATAAGGCTTGTGACCGGAAGTAATTAACATATAAAAATATAGAAATTTATAAATAATTTAAATTACCATAGTGGTACTATTAGGGAACATAGGAGAAGGTGGTAGATACTTTAAAATAGAAAAACAAACTATTATGAACAAATAAAGATATATTTGACCACAGGGTAGGGGATTTTATAAAAACAAAATGGCTTGCGTTCCACATTATGTGGTCGGTACTGCCTACATAATGAAAAGGGGATGGGAAGCTCTCTAAGGGTATGGAGATGCTCACTGACTGCTTCCCTGGAAACAAGGGAGTCAGAGCGGGGCCGAGCTTCTAACTTGCAAGCTCGGTTTAAACAAAATGGCACCCGTCCAGAGCCAAAAAAATGGCGGACAGAGGACTGTACTACAGGGTCCTGAAGAGGACAATCCTAATAGAAGCACATAGGATAAACAAATACATTAAATACAGAGATTAGGAAATAAATACAAGATTAGAAATGTATAAACAATGTAAATGAGTGTAAAAATAAGAATGTTTTAAAACATATTCAGCTAAAATTATATATAACAGAGAATATAGTTATTATAAATGAAAATAAATTAATAATACGAATGGAGAGAAATCAATATAAATATGAATATAAAGAAAAGGAGTGTGTGTAAAAAATATAGGTAAATAAAATCCCAAAAATAAAAATCACAAAAACTTATAACACCAATAAGGATTAAAGTACATTTTGCACTTAATGTAACCTTTTTTATTTAAGAAAGTTTTAATGCTGTTTCATTTTTTAGTATAGTGTTTGGTTAAGATGGATTTTAAATTGGGGGCTCCTCTGAAGACAATCTTGGGTTTTGGTGGTAAGATATTTTTTAATATATTGCCTTCTCTGAGGATGCCCCAATACTTGTTGTTTTCACCTCATGAGTTTATTATTAGAATCAAAGACCATAGGTAGTGTTATATCTTTTTTATTTTAGGTTTTTAAATGAAAAGAGTATTCATATCCAAGTTGCCTATTTTTTTCAATTTGTAGATGAAGGCCGGTGGCTGTATAGTTTTTTTCCACTAATTTGTCTTTTAGAGTATTTGCCCGAATATGTAAAACGTTCTGGTCAGTACGTTCTGGTCAGTAGAGGGTTCGTAGTGGCAACTAGTGAGATCGATGAATCTGTTAGTGTGTACCTTTTTAAAATAAGTACGAGTTTTTAAAACATTGTTTTCGACATACATTTCCAAATCTAAAAAGTTGAAAGAAGTTTTACTGTAGTTAGTGCTTAGTTTGATACCTCTATTATTGGAATTTAAAAAGTTTAAAAAATTATTTAAAATAGATTCCGACCCTTTCCATATAAAAAAAAGTCATCTATATAACAGCAATAGAGGACCAGGTGTGCGCCCCAGCCATGTTCACCCCATACCGCAGAATTTTCCCAATCTGCCATAAAGAGGTTTGCATAGCTAAGGGCCTAGTCCCCATCACTGTGTCCGCCTCTAAAAACTCTATTTTTATCCCTGCTTTGGTTTGACATACTACACAATATTGCTTTTTATATATTTCTCTCCTATACGAGGATACTGCTGTAGAGGAAGACCATTTGCAGACTTGTGAACCACAGTATATGCTTAAGCACGAAGGTTGGAGCTATAACAAAATGCTCCCAAAAAGTGTGAGTGGTTTACCTCTTTTTTTTTTTTTTACTTTTTCCAACCTTTATAACCTACATTCTACACTATAGTTTCTTTTTTTCCACATATTGTCAAGGACATAATTGGTGCTACACCACCCTCCTGCTTCTTGAATCCCAAAAAAGCTTATACTAAAAAGACATGCAAAGATGGTGTAGTAAAGATATAAAAATATCCCATATAGATCAAAACGTGAATGGGTGGGTGGTGAAATAAATAATAAACTAGTGCAGGCAAGCCACTGTCATGAGGTCACTCCAAAACCTCCATACAAAAAAACCCACAAAATCCTGAACATAAATCAGAACAACAGGGCGCCACAATCACAAAGTCAAATACAATCCGGAGATAACCATGGATAGAGGTGACAATGAATAAAGGAAAATATCCATTTTATTTGTAATAAACAAAGATAAAATAGGCAATAGCACACAAAGCTGTGCAAAATCGCAACAAAAACATATTTAAAAAGCCAATTTAAGGCAAAACAGCCTCTATGGGCAGCAGCTTAAACAATGCAAGTAACTGTACAAATGTTGAAAAGTGCAAGTGCCAAAAGTGCAATGAATATCTAAAGTCACTCTTACAAAAAACACATCAGCACAAACAACAACAGTATACTGACAGACTAAAGACTGCTGCACCACGAATGTAGGGCTCTTGTAGCTGCTTGACGCGTTTCGTGAAATAGACTTCCTCAGAAGCTTCTGGGTTCCCCTTGGCATCTTCTCCTTTTAAATCTGCCGGTCCGGTTGCCATTCATTGCCTGCGTATGCGCAGATCATGCCGGGCGCACTGCCATACTTGATGACGTGCGGACGACCGATGTGTGCATGCGCAACCAAGCTGGAACACAAATAACTTTATGCATACTGTACGTAGCTGTAAAACGAGTGCAACCATATTTGGAGAGCTCTATATTTACACGGTCTGGGTTTATAATCCTGCTTAATGTAGGAACTATTAACTAACATAGGAAAACTAACAGCAAATATTAAAAATCCAAATTGGACCAAATCAATGGTGATAAAATAGTAATAAATGACTCATGTGGGGAAATACAATTAATATATAAATTGTATAAACATGTATAAAAAAGGATAATCATAACTGATGTGGAGAAATGTAGAAATGCATTAAAATGTGATGATAAAAAATATACAATAATAAAAATATAAGAAAAAAGTCCATTTGTATCAGTGAATGTCATTCAAATCATTACATAAATATTTCTCAGGCTAACAAATAGAATCTAACTTATCCACCGTGCCTTAAAGGCACGGTACAAAATCTACAAAAAAGTAAGGATAAGTGGATACAAAGCAATTATATAATTGGAGGATGACAAATCATAGTCACTCAATCAGCTAATGTATACATAGCACATATTGAGGAAAATGGACTATAAATAGTGGAGAAACAGGTAATTCTAAAAATCAATAGAATATGCTTATAAAAATATAATAAATCAATAGTCCTTCAAGGTCTCCGAGGGTACCAAAAATGGAGGATTCTGTCTTTTGGGATTTTTTTCTACTTTCACTGATTAGAAACACATGACAGATAAAAATAGAGATAAAAAAATAAATAAAATAAAATAAATATACAGAGAAAGAAAAGATGGTTAGTACACTTTCAATCCATAAAGGCCAATATATCAAGGTCTGTATTAAGACCTGAGGGGACCGAAGTTTTCATCTTATATATCCATTCGGTCTCCCTCATGGCTAATATTTTCTCAGTATCCTCCTCCCCCCCCCCCTCCAATGCGGTACAATAAGATCAATCCCAACAAATAAAAAGTATTTTCAATTAAAATCATTGCAGGTGGTGCAATGCTTAGGAACACTATGTTTCATATTTCTGTTATTAATTCCATTAAAATTTTCTAAGAGTCTCACATGTAACTTTCTAGTGGTGCGACCTATGTATTGGACGCCACATTTACATTGTAACAAGTACACTACAAATCTACTTTGGCAATTTATAAAATGTTTGATTTTAAAAACCTCATTCGTAACTGAGCTCTTAAAATCTGTAGTCTTATTCACTTGAAACTTACATGTACTGCATCTACCGCATTTAAAGAAGCCTTTGGGTTTCTCAGATAACAAATTTAGGTGATCTTTCTTAATCTCTTTCTTAGGGAGTATACTGGGGCTAAAATACTTTTCAGATTGCTCGTTTTCTTATACATCACTTGTGGATTTGGGGGTAGAATCCTCTTTAGATATTGATCTTGTAATAAAATTGGGCAATTTTTCCGAATTGATATTCCGATCAGGTTCGCCTTACCATTATATCTTGTAAAAAAGGCAAAGTCAAACCTGTTATTATTAAAACCTCTCATGTTCTTATTTTTACCTTTATTTAATATTAGATCCTTCCTTTCAAATCTTTCTACTTGTGATTGGGTCTTGGATACAAGGTCATCAGGGTAATTTCTATCAGAAAACTTTCTATTTAAAAACTGTACTTGTACTTTAAAATCATCCCTATCCATACAATTTTGATAAAAAAATTTATATGTTGGCCCTTTGGGATATTGGTTAACCATTTACAGTGGTGACAACTCAAAAACTCAATAAAACCGTTGCCATCAGTGGGCTTAAAATAAGTCTTACTTCTGACTTTCTCTTCTTTTATAAAAAGAATCAAATGTAAAAAAATAATACAAGTATCGTGGATCTCTTCAGTAAATTTAAGACCATAAGAATTAGAATTGATAAAAGATAAAAATTCTCCTAAAATATTCCTTCCTCCCTTCCAAATAATTAAAACATCATCTATATATCTACTCCACTGCACCAGGTTCGCACCGAATGGGTTATTGTGCCATATGTTCTGCAATTCCCAAACCGCCACAAAAATGTTGGCATAACTCGGTGCAAACCTGGTGCCCATCGCTGTTCCAGATGTTTGAAGGTAATAAGTTCCTTCGAACCAAAAGAAGTTGTGGAACAGGATGCACCTAATAAGGCTAAGAATAAAAGAAGTCTGATCTACATGCCAATTCCTTTATTCATTGTCCCCTCTATCCATGGGAATCTCTGGATTGTAATTGACTTTGTGATTGTGACGCCCTGTTGTTCTGATTTATGATTTATGTTCAGGATAAAAATATCCCATACATGATATGTTAAGTGCAATTACATACCACAGTAAAACTGATAGTTCTGTTATGTTCTTGTATGTACACTTGTAATTTTTTTTCTTTTTCATTAAAAATAAAATGGCTAAACATAATACAAGTCATACGGTTTTAATTTGAAACTAACTAGTTCAGAAGTCTAAGATTAGAGCTATTCAGTGACTATTGTAGCTTCTGGTCCCCGACATGCAGCAATTCCTACTGGAAAGGTGTGTCCATCAGGTAGGAAAATATTTGACTTTTTGACACAAATTTTCCTTCCACGAATGTAATTGATGTGATAAACGTTTATCGAACAATAGAGCTATTTCTAAAAATTTGACCGAATTTCAATAAAAACAGTGGAGTGCTATACACCAATAAAGTGCAATATTAGTGAAAAATTGGTGAACGGTAAAATAGGTTTAGACATGTAAAGGAACACTAGGCACCCAGACCACATCAGCTAATTGAGCTCTGGGTGCACTGTCCCTTTTGCACTTAGTGCTGCAATGTAAAACATTGCAGTTCCACTGCAACTGCAACCGCGACCGTGGGCCACCTGGATACTGTTAGGAATAGGGGGAATCCTAACACAGAGTGTAAGTAAAGTAGTAATGTACCAGACCTTAGAATGGCCGGACTGATGTTACTGAGAGTAAGAGAATAAACAGGACGAGCCGAGGTCAGGGAAGCCAGAGGTAGGACAAAACAAGAATAACAAGCCGGGTCAAATGGATACCAGAGAGAAGAATAGTCAAGACAAGCCAAAGTTCAAAACCAGAAAATATACCAAGAATACAACGCGCTATCAGGACCAAGAGGAACCACAACAGGGCAAAGATGCTAACTCATGGGAGCTTTTTTATATCGTGACTGGATCTGTCTGGGATAATAACCACGCCCCCAATACGTCATTTGGCTCCACTCCCTTTTCCACTGCATTTTGGCTCCACCCCTTTCCCCCACTGCCTTTTTTGCTCCGCCCTTTTGCGCGGCATAAAAGGGGGCGGGGCTAAATGACTAAAGTCGCTGGAAGATTGCCAGGTCATGTCCCCAGAGTCCTGCAGGTGAACTCCACTGTGACCAGACGCCTGAGTCTCTACAAAAGGTACCCTGACAGTACTCCCCCCTCGAGGACCGCCCCCTGGGCGGAAACAACCCAGACGTGAGGGAAACTTGGAGTGAAAAGCACGAATCAAGCGCGGAGCATGGACGTCAGAAGCAAAGACCCAGGACCTGTCCTCAGGACCATAACCCAATCCACAAGATATTGAAGTCTGCCCCTTGAAAGCCTGGAGTAAAGTATAGACTGTACAATAAATTCTTCCTGACCCTCCACCTGGACTGGGGAAGGAGGACTTATACGTCTAGAAAACTTATTGCACGTTAAAGGTTTCAATAGTGACACATGGAAAATGTCAGGAATTCGTAGGGCAGGTGGATTAATACACCTAAGTATGGGGTAAGGACTTTATGAATCTGGGTGCAAATTTTAAGGACGGAACTTTAAGACGAATATGCCTGGTACTGAGCCAGACTTTATCACCCGGATGATACACAGGAGCAGACAGCCTATGAGCATCGGCAAACTTTTTATCAAGGGATGCTTTGTGAGACAGGAGATGTTGAGTCTCCTCCCATGGCTTCCTTAGGTTTTCAGTGTGCTCATCAACCATCGGGAGTCCTTGTGACGGAACTTCCGATGGAAACCATAATTTAAGAAGAAAGGACTCTTTTGCGTGGCATCAGAAACCACATTGTTCAAGGCAAACTCAGCCCACAGGAGTAGACCAACCCAGTCATCCTGATGCTTAGAAACAAAACACCTCAAGTACTGCTCAATCCTTTGATTGGTTCTTTCAGCTGCCCCATTAGATTGTGGATGATAGGCCAAGGAAAAATTAAGGGTGATACCCATTTGCGAACAGAAGGCTCTCCAAAAACGTGAAATAAACTGCGAGCCTCTATCAGAGATTATCTCTTTGGGAACACCGTGAATACGAAAAACTTCCCTAGCGAATATAATAGCCAGTTCAGGAGAAGAAGGCAATTTAGGCAAAAAAATAAAGTGTGCCATCTTGGTAAACCGATCAACTACAGTCAAGGTAACTGTTTTATTTTCAGACATGGGCAGATCAACAATAAAATCAATGCTAATGCTGATCCATTGTCGGGAATATCTAAGGGTTGCAATAAACCACACGGAAGGGTGTGTGAAAGTTTGGCAGTAGCGCACACACAACAGGCTACCACATACTCTTTTACATCCAAAAATTAGCTTATAAGTTTTGCGTATTCCTGGGTGACCTGCCACTTTGCAGTCATGGTGGAAAAGAAGTATGTCCTTTTGATGTTCGGGAGGTACATATAATTTCCCATCGGGAGCAATACTAGGAGCCTGAGTTTGCTTAGCCCTGATCTCTGACATAAGTGGAGAGTGAATGGTGGTTCTGATATAGGCCAAAATGCATTGTGGAGGGATAACCAAGGAAACTTCCGTAGTTTGACCTACCAATGATTCATATTGGCAGGATAGAGCGTCAGCCTTGGAGTTCTTGGATCCAGGCCTGTAGGTAAGAATGAAATGAAACCTTGTCAAAAATAAGGACCAACGAGCCTGTCTAGCTGACAACCGTTTGGCTTTGCCCAAATATGAAAGATTCTTGTGGTCGGTCAGGACGGTCACAGGATGAACAGTACCCTCTAGGAGATGACGCCACTCCTTGAAGGCCAAGATAGTGGCAAGGAGCTCCCTATCACCAATATCATATCTCCTTTCTGTGTCAGATAATTTTTTCGAATAGAACCCGCAAGGATGAAGGGGGCTATCATGATCCAGCCTTTGGGACAAAACTGCGCCCACCCCGGTTTCTGACGCATCAACCTCCAATAAGAATGGTAAGTTGGTATCTGGGTTCACCAGTACAGGAGCCGAAAGAAAAGCTTTTTTCAATGTATCAAAAGCTTTATTTGCTTCCTCGGGCCATTTATTAGGATTAATGCCTTTTTTTTGTTAAATGTGTAATGGGAGCGATAATAGACAAAAAAATTTAATGAAGCGTCTATAGTAATTAGAGAACCCCACGAAGCGTTGAATAGCTTTCAACCCATTGGGAATGGGCCATTTGAGGATAGAATCCACTTTCCCGGAATCCATCTCAAAACCCTCTCCAGAGATTACATATCCCAAAAAAGAAATTTTAGACTGGTCGAACAGGCATTTCTCTAGCTTACAATACAGGTTATTTTGCAAAAGCTTGACCAGAACTCGCAAAACTTGTCGATGGTGAGTGACAAGATCCTTGGAATAAATCAAGATATAGTCTAGATACACGATCACGAATTCTTGTTTGAATTCCCTCAAGACATCGTTAATGAAATTCTGGAAGACAGCCAGGGCGTTACATAGCCCGAAAGGCATCACCGTATACTCTTAATGCCCGTATCTGGTGTTGAAGGCTGTCTTCCACTCATCCCCTTTGCGGATTCTAACAAGATTATAAGCACTTCTCAAATCCAGTTTAGTAAAAATTCTGGCCCCTTTCAACCTGTCAAATAACTCTGTTATGAGAGGAATAGGGTATGCGTTACGTATAGTAATCCTATTTAGTCCTCTATAATCAATGCATGGCCTAAGATCTCCTTCGGGTGACGAAGATTTCCTAATGAACCCCTTCTCAAGATTCTCTTTAATGTACTCCTCAAGTACTGCATTCTCTTTTACCGATAGGGTGTAAACTGTACCTTTAGGAGGTATAGTGCCAGGTAATAAATCAATAGCGCAGTCGTATATTCTGTGGCTAGGTAACACATTGGCCTTGACTTTATCAAACACCTCTTTAACTTTAAGATATTGCCCTGGAATGACAATGGCATTAGTAGACGTGGTAGGTACACTGGTGAGAAGGATAGGTTTTATGTTCATAATACAACCCTGATGGCATTTGTTGCTCCAAGTTACTATGTCACCCTTCTCCAAATCTATAGTAGGGTTATGCTTCTTCAGCCAAGGGAATCCTAATACTATTGGGAAGGTAGGTGAAGAAATTACCTGGAACACACAATATTCCCTATGCAACACGCCAACCAACATTGAAATTGGTTTGGTTTCATGTGTTCTTTTGGGTACCCGGAGGGGCCTACCATCTATGGCCTCAACGGCCAAGGGTGTATCCCTTAAATGAGATGGGATAGAATTTCCTAGAGCAAAATTCTGGTCGATAAAATTTTCCGCTGCACCAGAGTCGATTAATGCTGCGATTCTGACCAATCCCTCCTCCCAAGCCAGGGTAATATTAATCAGAAGCCTTTGAATCTGGAGTTCTATGGAGGACAATGAAGAAACACCCAAGGCCTGTCCTCCATGGGGACTTAGGTGCGGGAGTTTCCCGGCCTGCTGGGACAAGATAACCGGAGATGCCCTCTTTGACCACAATAAAGACATAGTCCCTCTCTTCTTCTGTGTTGGCATTCTGCCTCGGTTAACCTAGTAGCCCCTACTTGCATGGGTTCGGGCAAGGCAAGTGCCATAGAATTAGAGGTATTAGGTAAGGGTGTGGTATAACTAGGGGTTCTTCTAGTTCTGTCTCTAGTGTTCTCCCTGTACCTCATCCTCTCATCTATGCGAGACATAAAAGTTATTACCTCCTCTAAATTCTCTGAAAGATCTCTAGTGGCAATTTCATCTAGCATGGCTTCTGATACCCCATTCAAAAACACATCGACATAAGCCTGGTTATTCAATGCTACTTCAGAGGCTAATGATCTGAATTCTAGTGCATAATCCACTAAAGACCTTTTCCCTTGCCTAAGACAAAGAAGAGTTCTGGCGGCATTTGCCCTTCTACCAGGTGGATCAAAGATTTGCCTGAAAGCCTCCACAAATGCTGTATTGTTGTAGACTATAGGATTATTGTTTTCCCATAGAGGATTAGCCCAGGTCAAATCTCTGTCTACTAGAAGGGTTATCATGAACCCTACCTTTGCTCTATTGGTAGGATATAATCGAGGTTGGAGCTCAAAATGTATGCTAATTTGGTTCAAGAACCCTCTATACGCCTCTGGTGCTCCACCGTAACATTGTGGTGGTTTAACATGAGAGGAAGCTCCTACCGTAGCTACTTCCAGGTCAGTATTAAGAGGAGTTGTGGGAACATTATGAATCTCCTCAGTACTGGTAGTAAGTCTGTTAATCAAGGTCTGCATGGCATTTAATCAATGTGATGGTCCATTTGCTCAAAACGGTTATTGCAAGGATCTGCTTGGTTACTTACACCTGTCGGATCCATATGGCCCTGTTGTAATGTCAGGAATAGGGGGAATCCTAACATAGAGTGTAAGTAAAGTAGTAATGTACCAGACCTTAGAATGGCCGGACTGATGTTACTGAGAGAAAGAGAATAAACAGGACGAGCCGAGGTCAGGGAAGCCAGAGGTAGGACAAAGCGAGAATAACAAGCCGGGTCAAACGGATACCAGAGAGAAGAATAGTCAAGACAAGCCAAAGTTTAAAAGCAGAAAATACACCAAGAATATAACGCGCTATCAGGACCAAGAGGAACCCCAACAGGGCAAAGATCCTAACACATGGGAGGCTTTTTATATTGTGACCTGTGTGTAGCGTGGCACTTCCTGTCAGACCGGGATGCAGCCCCCCGTCTTCCTCCTGATATAGGGGTCCCAAGATGTGAGTGTATGTGTATGTGTCTGTGAGTGTGCGTGTCTGAGTGTTTGTGTCTTTGAGTCTATGTGTGTGTCTGTTAGTGCATGTGTGTATCTGTTAGTGCATGTGTGTGTCTGTGTGTGTGTCTCTACATGTCTGTGTGTATGGGTCTCTGTGTGTATGTATGTATGTGTGAGCCTGTATGTGTGTCATGTATGTGTCTATGTGTGTGTCTGCATGTGTATCTGTATGTCTGCATGTTTGTGGGGGGTGGGGATATGTGTGGGGGAAGGTTTGTGGGGGGGCCGTGGCAATTTTAGCACTGGGGCCCTGTGGTTTCTAGTTGCGCCTCTGTTTCCAATAATTAGCTTTATAGGTGTACAGTGCTCCACAGTTTTTTATTGTTATTTCACATGTTTGTGTGTTTCTGGAGGATTACACATACAGTGTGGCAGCGGTTATATAATTACAGTTTGACAATACAGATTTTAAATTGTTTTACAAATACGTGTTTTAACACACACCACTTTTATTATAAGCCCTCTATAAATGATCATCAACTACATGATTAACCTGTTCATTGTGAGTTTCAACCATGTGATTAGGAAGACTGCTAAAGGATATACAATATTGACAAACAAACATTATTGAATGCAACAGACACAGGCCTCAATGTAAAAGTTTTGGATAAGCTTTTTAAATGATTTAGAAAAATATTTTAATATTTTGATAATTTTGATATATTGGTATATTTTGTTAAATGAGCATATTTTAATAGTCTGAAAAATATATTTTTAAAAGTGCTTCCAAAAATATTAAATCATTTGAAAAGTTTGTCCAAAAATATTTATATTGAGGAAATAATAAGAAATATCTTTCAACAAGAAATAAATCTTTTTGCGGTGAAAGGTTGATCATTGCCACCTAGTTAGATGAAATAAATAAATAAATAATGAATGAAAAATAAAAAAATAAAATGAATAGTTAATGATATAAAAATATGTAGAAAGACTAAGTAAAAAGCTAATAATATAATTGAATCATTGTGCATACACAAAACTGTCAATTTTATTCAACCATATGTGGTGGCAGCAGCTCCACCTACTGTCAGAGTCTGTCAAATTCATATAGTACATATGGTGAGTGTCTTGCAACTCCAACGGGTATTTTATATGTAAAATTCTATAGATACACAATATAGGCACTTATACTCCTTTACTGAGTTTTGTTGTTACATAGGCTGAAAAGAGACATGTGTCTATCAAGTTCAGCCTTTCTCACATGATCCAAAAGACAGCAAAAAAAAAAAAGTTTGAAGCACTTCCATTTTTTTACCAAACTAGGAAACAATCCCTTCTTGACCCAGAATTGGATCAAGAAGCTATTACCACCAAATTCAAAATTATATCCCTGAATATTGTGTTTCTGAAAGTATGCATCCAGTTGATGTTTAAACAACTGTACAGACTCTGATAAAATCACTTCTTCTGGCAAGGAATCACACATCCTTATTGTTCTATATTTCCGTTGATTTAGAATAAATCTCTTTTCTTCCAGTCTAAACACGATTTCCAGACAATGGTTTGTAATATATTTGTATAAGGTTATCAATCCCCTCTGTGGCACCATTTTTCTAAAATAAAGAATTTTCAATTTCCTAACCTTTCTTCAAAACTAAAATGTTACATTTGTTTAATTTTGCAGCCTGCCTCTGCACTTTTCCAGTGACGTAATATCCTTCTTTAGAACAGGTACCAAAATTGCACAGCATATTCAAGGTGTAGTCTTACCAGTGATTTATAAAAAGACAAATTTATAATCCCATGCAGAGAATTAATGCTCCTTTTTATACATGACAATATTTAACTGCAGATTGACATTGCCCATTGTTGCCTAGTTTGTTGTCTATAACAATTCCCAAATCCGTCCTTTGTGTTTTATCCCTAATTCACTACCATTTAAGGTGTAAGTGGCTTGTGTATTCATTACCCTGGAGGGCATAATTTAGCATTTTTCTACATTAAATGTAATCTTCCATTTGAGTGCCCAGTCCCCCATCTATCTTAATCCCCATTCAGCAAAGTAATATCTTGCTCACATTGTATTACTTTACAGAGTTATGTGTAATCTGCAAACACTGAAACATGACTTCCAATGCCTATTTCAAAATCATTTATAAATCTGTTAAATAAAAGCGTTCCCAGAACAGAACCCTGAGGAACACCACTTACCACTTTAGTCCAGCTTGAAAGTTTACCATTAATAACAACTCTTTGTCCTCTATTTTAAGACAATGTTCTACCCATGAACAAGAATTTCAGCCTGGACCAATCTTTTTTAGTTTGAACTCTAACCTATTGTGTGGAATCATATCAAACGCCCTGGCAAAATCCAAGTAGCTCTCTGTAACACCCTGATCTATACTTCTACTTACTTTTTTTGTATGATGCAATTAAAACCATACTGATTTTTGCTAATAACAATGTTCTTTTCAATTAATGCCTGAATATTATCCCTTAATAACCTTTCAAATATTTCCCAGCCACAGAAGTTAGGCTCACATGTCTATATTTTCCAGGCAAGGATTTTGAACCCTTTTTGAATATAGGAACTGCATCTGCCTTCCTCCAATCCTCTGGTACAATTCCTGAAAGAAAAGGATCTTGAAAGATTAAAAACAGAGGTTCACTTATTTCCACAGTTGGAAGTAGTACCGAGTACCTTCCATTGATGGATGCTTCCTAGCTTGCGCCGAGGACCACAAGCACTGCACCGGACACCACAACCACTGCAGACTCCCAAACCACCGTAGCTTAACTGGTAGTCTCGCCGTCTTCCTTCCACCCTGGATCAGCTTCTGTCTTCCAGGACCGTGTGGGAAAGACCTCTTCCTTCCACCCTGAAAGAACCTCTGACAAAGCTCAAGGGAGTATACAAGTATAGCAATCCCCATTGTGAATATAGCTGTCACCTCCAACAACGAGACAAGACTATGTGTTGAGGGTCAAGAAGATCTGTTTTATTCAGCAACAAAGGGCTTTCTTTTATGCAAGTTTTACACACAAAGTACCACCCACATGGTCTTGTGGAACAGCCAATCAAACATGTACAATACAGTAAAACACTCCCAGTAATTGCAGCAAAATCCTCCCCTTTGCCTGTGATCGAATTACTGTTCACAATGGGCTAATGTAATTATCACAGGCAGGAAAATACAGTTTTTATACAATTCCTATAACTTTAAAAGTATACATGCAATTTTAATAAAAGTTACATATTCGAACTCTGACTGCGTTCGACTAAATAAAGATGGCCACCGCCACGTGTTCGGTTGTCAAATGGCGGCCACTTCGACTACTTCGGCTGCATCCGAAGTGCCAATTTAAAGTTGCAGAATTATGCCAGTACCATTTAAAGGGCCAGAACAGTCTTTTAAAATACCAATAAGTCCAAATAGTGTTTTTAACTGGCAAAATCTCCCAGGGACCATAGTCACAAGGCAGGAGGCTGGCAAGCAGGCCTCTCCAGGACCAAGTGGTGAAGGGCACTTTGTCAAAGTTGGTTCCTAAAGTACTCATGGGTGAATACTGTCAGGCCTCGGAGCTTTCTTTATATTAACTTTCAGGACAAGTCCTAAGTGTCTATTTTGACTGAGATACTCTGCACTATTATTATTTTTTATCTTTTTTCCTCTATATTTGCCATGATGCTCCACAAGTCCTGAGGTTTCTACTATCTTTATGATACGCCTACAATCAATTTTGGTTTGTGATTGTGATTATTGCATTTACTTTCCATCTCTAAATTGTTGCAACATTATTATGTTTTTCTCTGTTATTATTGTATTGTAGATTATCTTTTTTCCACTTTATTTTGAGGACTGTGAGGAGTCCTTTTCTACAGTACTTATAGTACAAGGGTAATTGTTTTTAGAATTTTTTCCACCTATTGCCCACTAAGTGTGTGTTCTATCTACTATTTGGTGTATCTGTACATTTTGTATTTGGATATCATGACGTTTGGCTATCTAGGCATGACAGAAGTAGTATGCAGTCCATTCCTGATTTGTCAGAGTTTGCTAGATTGTAAAGCTATGCCTTCATGAACATCATATAATTGGAGAGAACAAGACAAAGGACTAAAATAATTGTTCAAGGTCATAATAGATATTTAGTTACCAGCCAATAATTGCAAAAGCCTTTATTTTGGCTAAATTCCCCAAAAGCACATGATCAATGCCCAAAACATATTAATTGACAGATACACCCACATACACCTAGAACGCAGCTCTGAATGCCATGTGTTGAGATGAGCATGTAACACCGAGCTCTCTCTGTCTCTGGCTGCAAAATGAGCTCAGCCTCTCTGCACATGTGATAGCACTGGCAACCACCACTAGGTAATGCAGCCACTGGGCATGTTTCCTCTTATCGCCATCTCCTCTGCTGTGGGGCACAGAATGCAGTAACAATGTCACTGCACATTATCAGTAACCCCTTCACTGCAGACCATCAAATAACCCTTCACTGCACACCACTAGTAACCCCTTCACTGCATACCACCAAGTAACCCTCTCACTGTATAGGACCCCTTCACATCACCCAATAACCCCTCCAATGCACACTACCCAAGTAATCCCTTTACTGCACACCACCCAATAACTCTTTCATTGCACACCACCAGTAACCCTTCACTGCATGCCACCTAGTAACCCTTCACTTAATGCCACCTAGTAACCATTCCCTTTCACTGCACGCCACCAGTAATCCTTCACTGCATGCCACCTAACAACCTTTCACTGCACACCACATAGTAACCTTTCACTGCACACACTGCAGTCACTACACACACTGTAGCCCCCTCACTGCACACACTACACACACACTGTGACCCCCTCACTGCACACACTGCAGTCACTACACACACTGTGACCCCCTCACTGCACACACTGCAGTCACTACACACACTGTGACCCCCTCACTGCACACACTGCAGTCACTACACACACTGTGACCCCCTCACTGCACACACTGCAGTCACTACACACACTGTAGCCCACTCCCTGCACACACTGCAGTCACTACACACACTGTGACCCCCTCACTGCACACACTGCAGTCACTACACACCCTGTGACCCCCTCACTGCACACACTGCAGTCACTACACACACTGTGACCTCCTCACTGCACACACTGCAGTCACTACACACACTGTGACCCCCTCCCTGCACACACTGCAGTCACTACACACACTGTGACCCCCTCACTGCACACACTGCAGTCACTACACACACTGTGACCCCCTCCCTGCACACACTGCAGTCACTACACACACAGTGACCCCCTCCCTGCACACACTGCAGTCACTACACACACACTGTGACCCCCTCACTGCACACACTGCAGTCACTACACACACACTGTGACCCCCTCACTGCACACACTGCAGTCACTACACACCCTGTGACCCCCTCACTGCACACACTGCAGTCACTACACACCCTGTGACCCCCTCACTGCACACACTGCAGTCACTACACACACTGTGACCCCCTCGCTGCACACACTGCAGTCACTGCACACACCCTGTGACCCCCTCACTGCACACACTGCAGTCACTGTCAGCACAGATGGCTGTAATGCAGATACTAAGTCATGGCACTCACTGCATTGTGCTGCCAGTGGAGGAGATGCTGTGCCTCTCCGGAGGTGATTCCTTATCTCCATGACATCATGCATTAACTGTGTGTGTGCCGTGCTGTATTGCAGTCAGTCAGGGTGTGGAGGGCCGGCCCACTCTGTATTATTATGAATGGCAGAGCATTGTCTCGGCATCCTTCCTTTGTGTGTCCCGCTATCCTCGGTTCACCTCACTCTCCGCCCTGTTCTAGCAGCCCCCTCCTCCCGGCCATTGGAAGACAAGGGGGGGCGGCAGAGCAGGGGACCAGGGATGAGGTCATCCATCTCCCCCCACCCCGCCGCCGGTGGAGCGCAGGGAGGGCGGGCAGGGCTGCACCGTGGGCCAGGCTGAGCGTGTCCCGGTCCCCCCGGCAGGCGGCGCTACAGCCAGCCCGCATCCATCAGCCGAGGAGCAGCGGCAGCCCGGGGGGCGGGGGGAGCTGTCACACACAGAGAGAGAGGAGGGGAGGGAGGGATAGTGTGTCTCCTGCCTCCTCCATTCCGTGCAGCCCGCACTCCGCTCGGTCGCTGATTCCCTCCCCGGGCAGGCGGGCGGTGAGCCGGTCATGGCTGCTAAGTCGGACGGGATGCTGAAGATGAAGAAGGGCGACGTTGCGTTCACCCCGCTGCAGGACTCGGAGCACTCGGGCTCGGTGCAGGGGCTGGCGGGCGGCTCTCAGCCCGGTGCGGGCGGCTCGCGGTGCTGCTGCAGTGGGGGTGAGCCGGGCACCCAGCCCTGGCCCCAGCCCCGGCCCCGGCGGTGCTCGCGGTACTCGGTGTGGGACTGCTTGTGGATCGTGGCGGCGGCCGCCGTGTACCTGGCCGATGTGGGCAGCGATGTGTGGCTGTCGGTGGATTACTACGTGCGGGGCCAGCGCTGGTGGTTCGGGCTCACCCTGTTCTTCGCGGTGCTGGGCTCGCTCTCCGTGCAGCTGTTCAGCTTCAGGTGGTTCGTGCACGATTTCAGCACCGAGAGCAGCGCCCCGGGCTCCGCGCCGCCGGGGGAGGGCAAGCCGGGCTCCGCGGTGGTGGTGGTGGTGGCCGGGGGGGAGGGGAGGGCGAGCACCCCGCAGAGACAGGCTTCCACGGCCAGCAGCGGCAAGACCAGTGCCACCAATGCCACCAATGCCACGGCCACCACCCCCGGCAACGGCAGGGCGAGCGCCCCCAGGACCGCCTCCTGCTCCTTCTGCATCTGGACCATGCAGTCACTCATCCACATCCTGCAGCTCGGACAGATATGGAGGTAAATACACACACATAGACACACACTACACAACACAACACACATAGACACAACACACACACATAGACACTGCACAACACAACACACATAGACACTACACAACTCAGACACTGCACAACACAACACACATAGACACTACACAACTCACACACTGCACAACACACATAGACACTACACAACTCAGACACTGCACAACACAACACACATAGACACTACACAACTCAGACACTGCACAACACAACACACATAGACACTACACAACTCACACACTGCACAACTCACACACACATAGACACTGCACAACTCACACACACATAGACACTACACAATTTGCACACTACACAAAACACACACACATTACACAACTCACACATATATACCTCACACATACACACACACTAAACAACTCACACACTACACACCTCAAATATACACACACCTCCACCCCACCTAATATCCTCCACTACACACACACCCCTCACACACCTCAATATCCTCACCTCACGCACCCTCCCTCACACCCACCACCTCACCTCACATATATACACACCCTCCACCTCAAACCTTTCACCACACGCCCTATACCTCATATACACACACACTACACCTTACATTCCCTCCACCACAAACACCCTCCTCCTCACAAACCCTTCACCACACACAAATCCCTACATCTCACACACACACACACACACACACTCACACACAGACACACAATTTTTGTGGTTTATCCTGAATTGATTTTGGTTGTTGGTTTGTTTTTATTTGTAGTTGCAGGGATTTATGTAGACAGAATACACACTCTAAGCATGCATGCTGTCACATCTGTTTATTGTTATGATTTATCAGTATTTAATCCCAAAGTTTAAAAGAAATTACATTAATTTATGTCAAATTGACAACAAGGTTGTTGTGGTATTTTGTATACCAAGATAGAAGTGCATTCTGACTAGGTTGGTTGTTTATATTGCTACTTTCCAGGAATATAACAGTTCCCCAAGGTATGTTGTAAGGTGTTTTTGTCTCCAAACTAATGTATGAAATACAAACACTTGAATGGAGATGTGTTCATAATTTGCACACCAGCAATCCAGTTGCCTGCTAGACCTACAATAGCAAAAAAGATCACAGGTGACTTAACAATAGTGTAGAATCACTTGCAGACACATGACTGTGCTGTCTGCTTGCATTTCAAACCCTGTCCACTTTTGCAATTTAGATGTAACTCTCTGTGTACATTGCAACACACTGCATGTGTCATTTCACCCCCTCAGGCCCCTGCTTTTTATTTAACACTCTCTTATATTTTTATTGTCATGTTTGCACTATACTTGTTTATTATTTTGTTAACCCAACTGTTTGTTTTTTTTGTAGCAACTGAGTAATTTTGTATACATATGGTTAATATTTGATTAACACATTTCTAAGTGTTTGAATATAATTTTCTGGTATCGCAGGCTAATTATTGTCTATGTGTTATTGTTGCCAATGTGATGCTAATTTGAAATTTTATTTAGCATTTAATATGTGGATGCTCTAAACAGTTCAAACAGGCAGAATCTTGTGAATCTCAGTGCGCCAACAGGAAAACTCTGTCTTCTCTTTCTAAGGATGTAGCTTTCGAGGGGCTCAAAGACTTCAGCTGGAATTAGCTTTAAAATTATAAAAATAATAGGAGTACCTGCTGTGTCTGCTTAGCATCAAATTATCTTAGAACACAGTGCACAAATAAAGACACCAAGCTCACAAATAAAGCGAGGCCCAACAATTATGAGTCAGGCAAAATGCCATGCTTGCTGAGGAGTTTTATTTATTGTTTTACTCATAATTTATAATCAATGTCAACTCATCTAGAAAAGAGCAATTTGCATAGAAATATATCACCCGTGGTCTGCCAGTTCCTAGAGCGTAAAACTTGTCTTGCTCATTGGGCTGAAGCTAGTATTTGCCACATGCTGGTTGATCATTATGGCAAGTACAGTCCATAACAGGTAGATGTTGCCTATCACTTTTTTTATATAATGTATGATTTAGCAATTATGGTTGGCTAGTACATTTTGTCTCCACTTGGATCTAGGTGATTGCTTCCAAATCTCCATGTATCTACAAAATCAGTTTTGTATCATTTCTTTTGTTTTCTACAGTTTGTATATAATGAATGCGCATGACCTTCTCTAATGGCCTCTGTTGGAAATATGTAAAATATTTATTGATTCATCACTCACAGTATATGGCTATGTGTATTGTCCAAGAAACTGAAGGAGTGGAGTTTTTATAATTGTGTAGAACATATTCTTACAAGCATGTTCTCAGATATAACAGTTGCTCTGAACCACGTTTCCCAATACCCAGTACGCTAAAAAGTTGTGTCACGCAACGAGAATTGAGTTAGCAGTAAACTTTTTTTAAAATCTGGATTAAACAACAGAGTTAGAAAAAGATTTCAAATAAGCTGAGTGCAACATTTGTATTTCAGACTCCTCAATTATGGGCTACATTTCCCAAATCAGTTGTTAATACATATTAATATTTATACACAAAAAAAAGTCCTGCGCTCAAACTCCCACTACTCTTGGGCGGCAGCAATGACCATAGTACACAACAGCCACAATACATACAGTAAAAACCAAATAAGAAAGTTAACTGCACTCTTTCCAAATCCCTATGTATA